AGGACGGGGGCAGCAGCTGCATCCTGGTGTCCATCGCGGGCAAGAACGTGATGCTGGACTGCGGCATGCACATGGGCTACAACGACGACGTGAGTCGGGCCGCCGCGTTTTTGCCAGCCTCTTCCCTCGCTCTGCCATCACCTCCCCCTGAAGCCGTCCCTGTTCGTGGTGGCGGCAGCGTCCGTGGTCGCCCTGTCACGGACTCCCGGCGTGCTGGACGCTGCCGTTTATTTAATGACGTCGGCAGCCAGCTTTGTTGAATCGTGGATGACCCGCTTTTCTGTCCCGCAGAGGCGCTTCCCCGATTTCTCCTACATCACCCAGAACGGGCGGCTGACGGACTTCCTGGACTGCGTCATCATCAGGTGAGAGACCTCGCAGCCCCCTCGTGGTCCAGGTGGAGGGGAGAGACGCGCTTCGGAGCCGTTATTGACCGTCCAGACCAGCCCCCTCACGTGACGAGCAAGGCTAGTAATACCTAACGGTGCTAGTAATTCACTGTCAGTAATACTTAACAGTATTAGTGCTGCTAATACCTAACAGTTCGGTGGTCTGACACCTGCGCATCGTGCATAGCTCTCCCAGCACTTGAAAAACATGAATGTTTAGCCGGCCTAATTTCACGTACAATTATATAATACAATACTGGTGTGCCTGTAACGTCTCTGAACACCCAGAGTGGGGCAGGAGCTGGAAACGTCCGACTCGAAGCCCCTGGGTCGTGCCTCTTATTCTGCGCGTCCCTTCACAGCCACTTCCACTTGGACCACTGTGGAGCCCTGCCATATTTCAGCGAAATGGTCGGCTACGACGGACCCATATACATGACGCACCCCACCAAGGCCATCTGCCCCATCCTGCTGGAAGACTACAGGAAAATCACCGTGGATAAGAAAGGCGAGACCAACTTCTTCACTTCTCAGATGATTAAGGATTGCATGAAGAAAGTGGTAGCTGTCCACCTTCATCAGACCGTCCAGGTAAATGACCCACCCTGGGGACTGCTGGTGTAAGCCATTTGGCTCATTCGAGGAGCGGGGCCGTTTTTTGTCTCTCTGTGCCAGCAGCCCAGAGAATCATAGAAAATTTGGGTTGGAAGGGACTTCAGGAGATCATCTAGCATAGTCCAACCCCCTGCTCAAATTACAACCATTTCCAGCTAGCTCATCCCAGCCAAGGCTTTTTTAGGCCGGGGGTCTCAAACTGCGGGTCAAAACTGAGCAACTTAAAAGGGGGCCTCAGACTTGCTGGGGTTATGCATGGCGGCACAGAGTAGTGGATGGCGGCAGCAGCTGCTGCGTGTGAGTTCCCTGTGCCCCGGCACTGCCACCCAGCACTTGGGGTCGCGGTATCACAGAGTTTGAGAACACCTGGTCAAGGCGACTCTTAAAAACCTCCAAGGATGGCGATTCCACACCTCTCTGGGTCGCTTATTCCTACCTACCCTCCCCCTTAGGAGTGTTTTACTACCCTCCTAGTGAGAAAGTTCTTCCTAATAGCCAACCTAAATTTCTCTTGCTGCAACTTGAGCCCATTGCTCCTTGTTCTGTCATGTGCCACCACTGGGAACAGCCCAGCTCCGTCCTCTGCAACCCCCCTGCAGGGAGTTGAAGGCTGCTATTGAATCCCACCTCACGCAAAGTCAGGGTACATCTATATTACAACGTGGTCAGATAAACCTGAACTAGCTTTACGCTAACTGGCTCAGGCATTACAAGTAGAGTAGCTGCAGCAACCCACAACTGGAAGCAGACTAACTGTCCAAGTATTTACCCTGCTTCTTGGTGAGTTGTGCAGCATGCATTAGAGCTCTGTGCTTCTGTGCCTACACTGCTAAAGGCTCCTGTGCTGCAGCCTAGACATGTTTTTAGACAGAGGGGCAGTGCCCAATGGAAGAAGAAGGCACACAAATCTTGTGAAACACCTCTGTGTTGGGATCCTCTGCCCTAGTTGCCAGGCTTGCTCTTACACTTCAAGATTTGTTCTAACTTTGGGGGTTCAGTGATGCCTGTCACTTTCCCTTTGCAGCCCACAAGGTGTGTGAAGGGTTTGATAGGGAGCACTGTCAGTGAAGAAGCAGAGCAATTAAATCAGTTGTTTTCAGGGTCACATGCCCCAGCTTAGGAGTTTTGTTTCCCAATTGAGATCAAGCCTCTTTTGGATGCCAGTGGATATCTTCCTATGTAGGTGGATGACGAGTTGGAAATCAAGGCATACTACGCTGGCCATGTGCTGGGAGCAGCCATGTTCCAGATCAAAGTTGGCAGCGAGTCTGTGGCGTACACAGTAAGTATCCAGATAAATATTTTATGGACACTCACGTCTCTAATGGGATATGCCCAGTTACCTTTGAGGCAGTAAATGGGTCCCTTTAATCTTTTTTTCTTTTTCCATTAGGGAGATTATAATATGACGCCAGACAGGCATTTAGGGTAAGTGAGAAATAGTCACCATTAATTTTATTGGGGCTGCTACAGATTGGGGGATTGTATTGGCAGGTCCTGTTAACCCGTGGGAATTTATTTGTGATGATTCCACACTCTTTGGCAGGAGACTAGACCACTTAATGCCTTCCCTGCTGGGAAGATAAATGACGTTTTCGATTGCTGTGCTAAATAGGTTTCTAATGATGTCTCAGGATAGAAATAAATGCAATGCTCTTCACTCTGGCATATGGTCATATTGATTCCTTTGTCAAGACTGCACAGCCATTGAATTTGAGCAGTCCATACATTGCTTCGTTGTCACAGTACCTTTTAAATGTGTTTGACCTTCTAGTGGTCCACACTTTTGTGCCATGGTTTCCCCAGCTGTAAATGGAGGCTGTTGACATTTGTTTTGAGAGCTGTGGGGGCAAAGTGCTGTGTATTCCTTGTTGTCATTATTAAATGGTCTTTTTTGTTTTTATTTGGTACTGTTTTAGTGCTGCTTGGATTGATAAGTGTCGCCCTGATCTATTGATCTCGGAGTCCACCTACGCCACGACTATCAGAGACTCCAAGCGCTGTCGGGAACGAGACTTCCTGAAGAAGGTTCATGAAACCGTGGAGAGAGGAGGGAAGGTGTGTTATGTGGCGTAAGCTAACTGGGGCTTCCCCAGCCCTGTGGGAGATGTGGGCTTCTCAGGGAATGAGAGGAGCCCAGAGATACTTGTTGGGAAGCAGTATCTCTGCTGCATTGATTTGTTTGCAGTCATCGAGGGTGTCATGGCCCAACTCTGCATCTCGTTGGCAGGTCCTTATCCCGGTGTTTGCTCTGGGACGTGCCCAAGAGCTCTGCATCTTACTGGAGACTTTCTGGTAAGCATCAGCTTCACCCTTTTCATACTGGATTAGAGCAGATGTCCCATTTGTTTCTCTGCAAGTTATTGATGAGATGCTGCATGTTGGTATGACAGGGATATTGATCAATGATCCCCATCTCCCTTCTGTAAGGGTGTGCATAGAAATCTAGGGTAGTGGGACTGACTCTTGTGTGCACAGAGGGAAGAGCCCAGTGGTGCTTGCCAGAAGCAACCATGCCTGGCTGACTGACTTCTTTCTCTTCCCAAAGGGAAAGAATGAACCTGAAGGCCCCGATTTATTTCTCCACCGGTCTCACGGAAAAGGCCAATCATTACTACAAGCTCTTCATCACGTGGACCAATCAGAAGATTCGCAAGACTTTTGTCCAGAGAAACATGTTTGAATTCAAACATATCAAGGCTTTTGACAGGGCCTTTGCTGACAACCCTGGGCCAATGGTATGTGATTAGGAAGGTTATAGAACAGAGGGGCTGGGATAGGAACCACTCCAGTACCACTGGAGGCCCAGCTTAGCAAAGAAACTCACCCGTGTTATGGGGCTGAGCATCCTCAGCTCCTGTTAACAGTGAAAGGCTTAGAAGGAAATGGAAATTTTAAGGAATGAGGTTTGGTGGAAAGTAGTGAAATTGGATTCAGTGGAAATTACATTAGGTTAAAAAATCACGTGTGAAACACAAGTGTAGAGTGCGTGCTGCACGGTGTGAAAGCTGGTACAGTACAGGGCCAGAAAAGGCATTTCCTTGTTCATGTTTGAAATGCTCTGTCTCAAATCTGCTTTGAAATTGTGCAGAGGAAATGGTCATTTGGGTGTGGTAGCTTCTAAGCATGTGTTCTGTCTAGGTCGTATTTGCAACTCCAGGCATGCTACATGCAGGACAGTCCCTACAGATCTTCCGGAAATGGGCGGGGAATGAAAAGAACATGGTAAGAAAGCCCTGTGGTTTTGAATGACACCTGTGTGAATGCTGCACAGCCCACACAGGTTTGGGAATAAGCTTTGAATCTAATAGGGTAAGAATAGCAGGAGACTGTTTCAGGTGAGTCTTTCTGAAAGATCCATCCACTAACAGTAGTAATAATTATAACTCCTGACTGGCTGCTGTATTGTGTAGTAGCAGCATGATTTCAGAATAGTGGTGCCTGCAGATCAAACTGTAGCCCACTGAAATGCACTGTTCCTCCCCAGGAGTCAAACCGTGACCAGCGGGAGAAGGTTAAGACCTAGTTTGTTGATGCATATCAGTGAATATGACACACTTGGTTCTGGTGCTAACATTTAACCTCCTCAAAGTCACCAGCTGTGTCTTGACTCCAGATTCCGAAGGTGGAGAGAGGAGATGATGATGCATGAAGCAGAACACATTATTCACCCCCACAGACACTGCATGTGACCTGTGCATGCTTTGCAGACCAGGTTTCTATTTATTTCAGTAGAGGCCAGGACTCGCATGAGTGCCATTTGGGCAAATAACCATGGGGGATAACCTTGGAAAGCAGCCCATGGTTCTAAAGCCATCTTGTTCTGGGGCTCTTATGGGAGCCTGCAGAGAGGTACTGCTCATTTGGCTGTGATCTTTTCATGTAAAGCAATAAGGGAACACTCCTTGCCTGAGACTTTTTTTCCCTACCGGGTATTCCAGAAGTCTTTGAAAGAGGCCTTCCTTTAAAGAGACCCCAGTGAACCTGGACAATCAATCTGGTCTCTGTGGGCATGGGGAGAGGGGAATCCCTTGAGGAATGACCAAAAGCGTGGGTTTTATCAACTCTAGCTGTTAGGGTTCTTAATCTGTGACATCAGAAGGTGCCTCAGAAAGGAGGAGCACTGCAAGATGCTTTTACTGGGAGTTTATTTTCAATTCTACTTGCATTCTTTTGATGGTATCCCCTTAGACACCTGTCTTAACTGGTAACAAGCCTTGGTTAGCAACACACATTCTAACAGAAGCCATCTTTTGTTTTATTCTCAATGCTTCTTTCATCCCTGAGGATTTTGCCAGGAAGAATGCAGGGAGGGAACAATTAAACTGAACAGAGAGTAGCTCGCAAGCAGAGGCTGTGGTGGACAGGCTCAGAACGGTGGACACTTCCATCACGACTAACACGTGGGTAGTTCTGCAGCTCGGGTCGTATGCAGGAGTGATGTATTTTTCTGGATTCCTTCCTAGGTCATCATGCCAGGTTACTGTGTGCAAGGAACTGTAGGCCACAAGATCCTGAGTGGGCAGCGGAAGCTGGAAATGGAAGGGAGGCAAATAGTAAGTAACTGTGCCCAGACTCAGCTTTTGGGGAAGCTCTTCAAAGACAGGCAGCTACTAGGCCCTGCTGGCCATGGGTGACGCTTATAACCTTACCACCTTCTGTCCAAGAAAACCTCAGTGTTGGTTGTTAGGCTGAGAAATGCTTGAACAGGAGGGATTATTCAACAGGTTTCTTTCCTTGTGTTTGTGATCATTTGCCCGCTTCTGCATATGGCCTGGCAGCTGTAGATCACATAAGCAATAGCACTGCAGTAACTCTAAGTCTCTTAAGTCACTGAAAAGCCAAATTCTGGGGATTTTAGCATGGGTGGGCTTCTGTGCTGTGTCCAGAAGAGGTTTAAATCCCCTGTAACCAGACAGTTAGCCAGCCTGGGGGCTTTGCGCAGAAGTGGGGGATAAAAAGTGTTAATTGCAGTCCTTACATGCTGATACGCTGTTGCATAGTTGAACCAGTGCTGCAGGGCAGAGTTTGATCCTGTAAAACATGGAGTGTGGGCCCCCTCCCTTGGTGAAGCTGGGAATCGGGCTGCTTCGCTTGACCAGCTTCCTGCCACGTGGGATTTCTGTTCACTCCCACAATGTTGTGTGTGTCAAGAACCCTGCGCTACTTTCTGCACGCTGTGGAAGTCATACGATGCCCGATGATCAGGGGCTGGATTTGTGTGCTTCTCCCTGCAGCTGGAAGTGAAGATGCAGGTGGAATACATGTCCTTCAGTGCCCACGCCGATGCCAAGGGCATCATGCAGCTGATCCGCCAGGCTGAGCCACGCAACGTGCTCCTGGTCCATGGGGAGGCAAAGAAGATGGAGTTCCTGAAGCAAAAAATTGAACAGGAATTTCGTATGTACCGTTTGTGGGGCAGATGGAGCATGGAAGGGGGGAGGGCTTGACTGATTGGAGCATGGCTAGTTTCCTGTGCTGCTGGCCCCTCTCAGACCAGAAGTGAAGACTCTTGGTGTCATGTATAGTAAGCCCCTGCTGTTGCTTCACCGAGGAGCAGGGAGCATGTGTTGTCTGTCTGTGGTGTTACAGATTTATTTAAAATCGTGTTTCCTAAAGCCAGCACAGACAAGTGGAAAGGAAAATGAAGTGCTTTTGTGTCCGTATTTCTGTAACTTGCTTGCTAAAGACTGGGCAAGCACTGGAGACAAACCAGACTCTTTTTTTTAAACCAGTGACTCCTAAGTGCAGGTAGGGAGAAGTAGGATAGAGAGATCCTCACATAGCTCTCTGGAAATTCCTTTTTGGGCAGTTTTAGATGCCTTCCCTAGCACTGGCTTGCTTTTATTCTACCTGCCAGCTTTGCTGTAGTCTGTCTACAGCCTGTGATCTCAGCTCTCACTAGCCCATAGGTTCAGAGTGGGCAGTTCTCCAAAAGAAGCCCTGCATAAAGCATTGATGAGGAGTTGGTAGGTATTGGCCTTCCCCTTCAGTGGGTCTCTGCTCTCTTCCATGTTAGACTTGAGAGTCAGGCCCTGGTATGTCATAGGTGCCCTGGGAAGTCTCATTGCGTGTACAGGAGTGTTAGCCTCACTGTGCCACACTCACCAGGTTGGGGAACAACACTTCCTGCATATACAATGCAGAGCCCTTGATGCGGGAAGGGGGAGGCTCTGTGTGAATGTTCCTCCAATCCTCTTTGCTGTTAATACAGATGTGAACTGTTACATGCCTGCAAACGGAGAAACAACTACGTTTTTCACCAACCCCAACATCCCCGTGGACATCTCCCTTGGACTGCTGAAGAGAGAGACTGCACTAGGTAATAGATGGCTGCCATGGAGTTCCTGCTGGTCAGGCCCAGTGGCTGGATTGTATTTATGTTTGTATCGCTGAATGCATTGTTCCCTGGATCGTGAAGTGAGGGGGACATTGTGGGGGCATTTCCAAGATCCTCATATAACTGAGCTTTATCGGGGCTTAGAGTTTGCAGGGGGCTTCCAGAGAGATGCGATGGCTTCTCACCCTAGCAATGTATCCCTGCATCTGGTGGATTCAGTGCGTGGGGATTTTGTTTCAAGTCCCATGCAGGAAAGTTGGAGACGATTGTTCAGCAGCCAGACACTGTGCAGAGATAACGTGTCAGTTTGCTCCATGGACAAACATGTGTAGGTGTGCCACTTCTGCTCTGCTGAAATTCCCAGTTAAACTGGGAGGGTGTAGTGAGAGTGTGGCTGTCACACCTCCATTGCTTAAAGGTTGATCTCCATTGCACTTGTGTTTAAAGAGGCAGTGACTAGGACTTACGGGTTGGGCCCATAGAATGGGTCTGCTGTATTCCCACCTTGCTGTCACCAGGGGCTCCGTGAGATCCCAAAGCACTTGACTGTTTCTATCAAGGTGTCAGGTAAGCACAAGGTCATTAATGGTCATGCCCTCCTTTTCCACTGGTCCTGCTCTAGGTCCCCTCCCAGACGCCAAGAAGCCAAAGCTCATGCATGGCACATTGATCATGAAGGATAATGTAAGTGACCAGGAGACTGTTCTAGTACTTGTCTTGTAGCCCCTCTGGCCTCTTGTCTCGTAGCCTCCCACTTTGTTTTTTTTTTTCTTTTAAACAATTCCAGCACAGAGAACAGTAGAGAGGGTGCCCAATCCTCACTTATTCTGGGAAACAGTCCAGCAGTGACAGCTCTCCAGGTGCCATGTGGCGGTGAAGAAAATGTGGGTGTAAGAGGATTCCCGATCTCCCTGCCATCTGTTCTGTAGAGAGGAGACAGGTGTGCCCCTGGCTATCTGGAAGTGGTCCCTGGAGACTGGGATTACCCATCCACAGAACCATTGCCCATGAAGTTCTTCCCTTTGGCCAGGGAACTTGCTGCTTCCCCACAGCCTCCTGCCATGCAGTGGGTGCATCCGATGGATGCCCAGGCAGGCCATTCTTATCCTGCAACCTAGCCTTGTAATTAGATGACTGGTTTGTTCCACACAGACAGTTTGTTAGCTTTCCATCAGTGAGTAGCTTTGAGAAAAAGGGAATTGGTGAGAGAGAGAAGTACTCCCTGCTTCCTTTGTCCCCCACAACCCGCCTCCTCAAGCAAGTAACCTTAGCAGACCCAAATCCAGCTGGCTGTTTCCGCTTGTGATAGGGACTGCAGTGTGCTTGGGCATTCTCAGGTGCTGGGAGAGGGAGTCCCCACTTTGAGTTGGTTGCTTTGCTTTCGTTGCCATCCACAGCTAGCCATACAAAAACGTTGGGGGGATTCCAGCCCAGTGTATGAACCAGGCTGAAGCTCATAGACTTCTCCCTTCCCTCGGCAGAGCTTCCGTCTGGTCTCTCCTGAGCAGGCGCTAAAGGAGCTGGGCCTTGCAGAGCACCAGCTGCGCTTTACCTGTCGTGTCCACATCCAAGACCCTCGCAAGGAGCACGAAACAGTGCTGCGGGTTTACAACCACCTCAAGGGGTAAGTGTAGCCTCAGCGCCAAACTAGGGGCTTCTAGAGATGTGAGCATGATTCACCTATGTTGATCCAGACCAGCACTGTGTAGGTACAGCCTGTCGGTAGACAGCAAAAGGGCTGTCTGGGTTGGAAGAGGTGACTTGGGAATCCAGCTGCCAGAAGATATGGGTGGGCAGTGCTCACAGGAGCTAGCTAGTTTAGAGCTTCTGCAGGGGCATTTCCCCCTGGTGAGCAGGCACCCCTGAGAAACTGTCTAGAGTGAGCTTGGAGTTCAAAATCAGCTGGCCCAGGGCAGGAGCAGTGCTCTGTGGCCCAAGAGAGTCCAAAATTGTACCTGAGGAGCTGATCTGGCTTATTACTTCCACAGAAATCAAACCCCGTAGGGAACATAGGATAGAGAGAGAGAGAGCGGCATTAGCTGGCTTTAAATGAGCCCTGTGCTGACTTCCTAAGGTGGTCAGTGTTGGCTCAGAGGCAGTGGGGTGGAAGTTTGAGGTGCAGCTCGGGTTTGTGTGCTCACCCTTCCAGATTTATGCATAGCAGGGAACACTTACAGATATGTAATGCACCTTCTCCCTAGCATCCTCAAGGATTATTCAGTTCAGCACCTCCCTGATGGGTCTATAATGGTGGAGTCTATTCTCATCCAGGCCACAGCACATTCAGAGGATCAAGGAACCAAAGTTCTGCTCGTTTCCTGGACGTACCAGGTGAGAACAAGTTTCACTTCATCAGCAAGATGTCTGCATTCAGAGTGACTCTGTGGTTGGTTTGTCATCTGTTTGTGGTACGGGTGTGCCATCTTAAGGATTAGTTTCCATATAAATGCGGTTACAGCTTGCAACATCTTTGTGCGCAGGAGCACATAAGCCACTGAGCTAGGCACATTTTTTCAGTATCTTGTTGGTGCATTCTCATTTACTTTTCTGGGCTGTTGCTACGGACTAGTTTCCGGCTATCAATTCTGTGACTGACGTTTGCATGGAGAAATCTTGCGGGCTGTGTGACAAGCTGAGTTGTGACAAATAGACGTATAAACAAAGTCTGCAACTTAATGACTAGCAAAAATGCTTTCTGAAGTGAAGCTGCAGCTGAACGAGGCACTGTGTTTTTTCTCTTCATGGATGGAGTCTTATTTTAAGTGCGTTCACAAGTCTAGTTTCTGTGGATTTTTTTTTTAAATTTTTGTTCCCAGAGAGGAAATGTTTTCCTGAGAGCTAAGCAAAAATCAATAGTTCTTTCTTTGCTTTAAAAAGAGAGGCACTTATCCTCAAAACAATCTCCTCAGAGGCATCTAAGCTCATTTCTGACAAATGCAAGTTTTATTGCTAAGCCAGAAATGGGTTCCAGCCAGACAATCTGGCTCCCAAGTACATGCCTTGCTAATTTGGGAGCTGATTCGGTCTGGGACATTGGTGTATATCTGTGCCTAAAAATGAGGTTCTGATTAACGGCACAAGACCTGGGAGCCTAGAGTGGTGCCGTACCGTTGACTTCTTTGTTTTCTGTGTCTAGGATGAAGAACTGGGCAGCTATCTGACCTCCCTCCTGAAAAAGGGGCTGCCCCAGTCAACGGGCTGAGTGTCTGCAGCAAGGACGAGGAAGCTCCAGGTCATTTCCACTTTTTTTTTTTTTTGTACATTGTCAGAAAGGCGAAGCAGGGGAGGATGTAAATATGTAGGTTGTGTTTTTTAAATTAAAAAAAATTAAGTCTCCTCTGTCCCATAGCCTGTGCAGTTCAATATGCTCCAAGTCCTCACGCAGGGTTCTGATTTAGCAACAGTGGTTTCTCAACTGGAAAAACCCTCACTGAGTTTTTCTGCTTGCCTTTATTTTTGAGGTGTGAAAAGTCAGTCACCCTCTGACAGTAACTTTCCATGCGGCAAGTAGGTTTTGATTTCAGTAATAAACAAGTGAGAACAACCCACACGCCACTTTCCTCTCCTCAGTCACTGCCCCATGAATTTCTATTGTCTTGCTCGGTCAGCTCAGCTGGGTCCTTAAAAGCCTTTTGAACAGGAGCCATCTGTCTTTGGTAGCTCAGTTGGACACTGCTATGGGAGTGATATAGCATCCTAAGAGAAAACAGGTTTGAGGCATTAATGAAAACAGTTTAAGAGCCATTTAGCTTCAGCATTAAAATGGAAAAGACCAGATAGCTCAATCCTGTATTAACACAAAGTCCCAAGCCTCGTATTGCAGCAGTAACTTAATCTATTGAAATGTCTGCAAAACTTCCTTGCACAGTAGCTGACAAGCCTAGAGTAGGGCGCTCATACGTTTTTTCTGTCCCTCCATGCTTCTAATGTCCCTGTTGGGTCAGAGAAAAGAGCCCTCCAATGAAGTTAGTTGCACCTGTGTTCTGGGAATGGTACAAGAATAACAGTGTTGGTAACCAGTGGACCTCAGTAGCAACACCCTGTTGAGGCACACGTTTATTCCCACTTCACGGATGCATGGCAGTTGAAGGAGTTGCCAAAAAATCTCTGAGCCAAGTTGGCAGACCTGGGATTTGACCCCAGGGGTTTGCAACTCCTTATCCTTTTATTCTAGGCACTGCCCAGACTGCCTCCCTTGAAGTTAAAATAAAGAATACCCCAACCTTGTGAAAAAAGTTCAGATGAAGAAATGAGTCATTTCAGTTAGGTAGCTAAGTATGCCAAACAACCCTTATTGGGACAGGTCCATTTAATACTTAGAATTCAATATCTATTTAACTGTAATGAATCCACTCAGTGCAACATGAAAAATGAATACCATATACAAAAACAATCTGTTTAATAAGGCCAAAAGTGTAATACAGCAATTGCTTGTGTGTTTTAATTCCCCTTTTTAATTCACAGTGTGTAGCCAGCAGCCGTTCAGGGCTGGAATTGTTCTTATTCTACAAGGATATGTTAAACGACAGCAAGATAACTGCCTTGCTTGCTTTGGAAATCAGCCTAGCATTGCCACTTTCCAGTAAAGGATTTTTTTAACTTAACAGTAATGTTAATTTGGAAATTTTGCTCTGCAGTCTTACTTCTGACATTTTGTCACTGCTTATGAAACCCACAGTGGGACTGGGTACAAATGCAAGTCTTTCTAATTCACAGACCAGGCTGCTTTCTGCCACCTCTGCTACCAGGCCTTACAGCTTGGCCGCAGCCACAGATAAAGATTGCTGTTATCAGGTGATGCTTCTTTTGGCAAGGTAGGATGGAAGCAGCCGTTTTTAACATGGACACTTCACTTCAGAAGTATAGAACCAGGCATAATACAGCCTTGACCTCAGAGAGTTCCCTTACTACTACTTGTGCTACAGTTCAAAGTTAGAGGTGAATGATTGATTTACCTTGTTTTACATAAACCAGTGTTTCATCCTTGTGTTTTTGCTTTCAAGTTTTGGCTCTGACTTGCTTTGGTAAAAGCAGGAATCGTTACTCAATTTTCTGTCACAGATGGTATAAACCTGCTTGGGCCGGGATCGAAGCCGGATGTGACAGTGCCACTGCTTGCTGGCAGACATGAAGTAGTACAGGATGGGGTTCAGGCAGCAGTTAAAACTAACCAAGGCTAATGTAACCCGGCGCATTTTGTAGATGAAGTTGGTAAACTGGGGATTTTTGATGAGCTCAGCCCTAGCCAGGAAGTGGAAGAGGTGGGTGAGGTGGTAAGGAAGGAAGCACATGGTGCAGATAAACAGGATCAAGTAGATAGTCCTCAAGGCCTTCTTCTTGAACATGTTGTGCCTGATGTGGGAGATGCGCTTGGCAATAAGAGGGTAGCTGATCAGGATGACAGCAAAGGGAATGACGAAGCCGAACACCAAGGCAAGAATGTTGTAGGGCACCATGCGATGGGTCCAGCTGGTCACTGGGAAGTTCTCAAAACAGGCTGTCCTGTTCCCTGTGTTGATGTTGTGAAGAGGCCCCTCGAGCATCAGCGAGACGGCAATGCTTACGGCAGCCAACCAGAGGGCAACGACTACTAGTGTGTAGTGGGTGCCTTTGATCTTGATGTACGTGAAGGGGTGCAGCACGGCTATGTACCGATCAATAGAAATGCAGGTGAAGAAGGCAATGCTTAGGTAGATGTTGATGTAATAGAAGGTGCCAGTGATTCTGCAAGCCAGGTCACCAAAGATCCAGTGGTTCTGGTTTCGATGGTAATGGATTTTAAAGGGCAAAATGCAAACAAACAAGGTATCTACTATAGCCAGGTTCATTATGTATATGTAGGAATGAGAGGTGTGGGTGACCTTGGAGGCTAACAGGTACAGGACAAAGATGTTCTCTATCAGTCCCAGCACAAAGACAAGGCTGTAGATGACAGTGAAGAGGGGGTACTGGAAGCTTACCTCCAAGCTGGCATGGACTGTCTCATTGGAGAGCCCCTCTGCCATGGTCCAGGGAAGGTTTGCCATGCCTTTAGCTGCAGAAAAGAGCACTTTGAGGGTACTGCCTATGTGATAAGCATCCTTGGAAAGGAGTGGATAGGTCTTTCTCCTTTTAGGTAAACTCCACAGCAGCAAGAGCTTGATGTCCTGTGGTCAGAACAAGAGTTGCGTGAAGCTCTGTGGCCAGGTAATTTTAGTACATTTTGCAGTGCAGGCTCATCTGCGTGGTAAACCTAGCAAGAGAAAACTTAAGCGTTAGGGTGATACAAGGAAACATCACCTAATACAATGCAAGTGCAGTTGTAGTTTAAACAGTAACAAGCAACTTAGTTATTTGCTGGCATTTAACCTGCAGCTGGAGAAGACCCAGTTAAATTAGCAAGTCAAAAATATGTAAAGGGCACAGAAAAGTTCAGCTTCTGTTGGGCCCAAAAGTTACACCCGATATCCCGGCTCTGGCAGAGGGTTGGTCAGTGTTTAAGTAGCGCAGGACAATTCCTTTCACTGACGTACTAATAGGGACACTCCTACCTTAGCAGGGCTTTGCTAACAGCGATTCCATGTACAGCAGTTCTTACGGTGCCATTGACAGCTCCTGCATCGCTTGCCCAGATGATGGAAGAGATGTATACACCCCCTTGCCTGTTCTTCTCTGGCAGCTGGGAAGTAGGCGAAGTCTGTGTGTTACAGTTGAGGAAGTGGGATTTGAAAGCACAGAACTGAGACAGCTGGTGTCTGTCAGGATACTTAAGACATACTTGCTGTAGGACCTTGCCATGTCATTCATTAGATTCACATTACTAGCAATGGCTTCTAATTTTGGGCACCCATGCGGGAAAGCTGAGCTAATCCCACAGAAGCAGATGATGTCTGCAGGCACTGGCATATTCTGAAAGTCAAGTCCTAGGTCTCTGAGATTAGCTATCCAAACTTTGAGCTTGGACCCATGACGCACACTAGTGGACTCAGCCTTAGCGTAAGTGCAGGCAAGAAGCAGACTGATATTGTAAGCTCCTAACAGACATTAAGTGCCTCAGATCTGAAGCAAAGTGATCCCATGGAAAGTGTAGTAAAAATAAACCTGGGTCAGCGCTATCTGCTTTCACCCAAGAGCAGTCTGCTGTAGGTGCACAGGCTAGTGTATGCTCCTCAACCATCCAGGGGTGAGGCACAGTAATAGCATCTACTGTTAGCAGCTACTCCAGAGAGCTGCTATTGTCTGTGCAGGACCCCACTGGAGTCAGTAGAGAGAAATATAGGCAAGTTGAACCAGTGCAAGTGTATTGTATCAGACCTTTGGAGGAGGTTGTGCAGTCTAGCCTAAAGCTTGGCAGACCTGGCTTCTATGCCTGCCTCTGCAGCTGCTTGCTCTGTGACTTTGGACCAGGTGCTCCACCTGCCATTCTTTGCCTGGCCACAGAGGGGAGTTGCTGGGCTGTAAGCAAGGGATGCACTGACAGCAGGACTCCATGATTTCTCCAGGTATGAACACTCATTGAATGCTAATGCACTCTTTCAAAACAGCATTTAATACTGTCTCTCTGGGAAGCCACCCCCAGCCACGGTCCAGGAACTGCCTGCCATGCTATGGGCTGCAGAAGAGGGAGCTGTGTAACTGCCTGTGTGAGCATCCCTGAGCAGGAGGGGATAAAGCAGGCTCTTACCTTAGGGAAACCCTGCAGCAGCAAGCAGTGTCTTGGCTCTGGTTAGGACTAAATCACATGGTGCTCTGTTTAGATCAGGCACCTCTGGTCAATAAACCAGTTACACTTCATACTTCTGGATGTGATGAACCTGGAAAGAGAAAAAAACCCCTTGATTTGTATGTGCTGGAGCATGGTTGCACAGGTAGCAGCCAGCTTATTTACTAGCATTTGACAACTGGTCACAGGAGACCAGTCTGGTTCAAGTGGAGTATGTCACCTCATACCACAACAGCTAGGCTACACCAGGAGGTGGTTGGGAGAAGCTGGCTGTGCCTTTACAGTGCACCAGCTCTTCTCCAGTAACTCTTCCTGTTTTGAAGTTCTCAGGAGGGGGCTGGACTGGCATCTGCTTGGGATAATTTAGCAGCAGCAACTGTGACCCTTGTGGTCCCTGCCAGCCCCATGGTCCTCTGATCCCTGGTGTCCAGTGTGCTGCAGCCAGCACTGCCCACCCTACTGTGCACTAGCTCCCCACATAGATGAGCCCTTAGAGCGAGGGTTCCCAAAGTGCACTTGCAGCCCAAGAGCTTTACTAGTGCCTTGCAGGCTGCATGCAGTGGTGACTGCCAACATCAGACCGAGGGAATGTACTGCAGATTCACTGGGTATGTCCCGTCCATTAATTGACCCCTGTGAATCTAGAGGTGATGACAGCTAGAGGACAGAAGGATTTCCCCTGCTCATGAGGGGCTTCTCTAAGTCACCAAGGGGCAAGATATTTCTAGGGAAACAATTTGTAAAGCTGACCTAGGGCGATATGACTAAGGGCTGACCGAGAACCCACAGCTATTTTTAATGTGCTGGAGCATCTGAGAGGCCCCACTCAGCAGAAGCCTGAGTACACCACAGCCCTCCTGTTTGAAAAGAGCAGGGGCGACTGAAACATCACTGACATGCTGGAGAATCAGCACTCAGCACTGGAAACCCCAGACCAAACTTGCAATACAAGGGGCAGTCAGTGCAACCTGCAGTGGGGGTAGAGGAGGACACTGAACAGGCTTGGACTATGTGGGCCACGAGAAATCTTAATGGCATCTCAATGAGGACTCTGAAAGCAGGGAGTCAGTGAAGTGGCCATAGGTGGCAAGGGAAGAGACAGGTTGCACCAACAGAGACAGTTACACCAACAACAAGTGAGACTGGTATGAATTGTTCACTCCTATCATGGGATAAATGGAGCAAAACCATTGCAACTTTACTGGTTATATTTGGGGTTAAAGTTTCAGCAGTTAAACTCAGCAGAGATGGAACAGATGGCTGATATGCGCCTCTCAGTGGCAACTCCCCTTCTTTTAAAGCAGTGAGAAGTTCCATCTGCAGAATAAGAGAGTTTGGACATACCTTTACTCCTGTGTGCCAATGTCATGCCTTCAACGGTGCCTTCTTGGGTGTCCCTGCACACACGGGCCCTAACACCTGTGAAGAGGAAAGGAAGCAGACTGTTGCTGTCTGGTAGGTGACAGACAGGGGCTGGAGTAGGTGGAGTAAGTTGTTGACAAGAGGCTGAGCTGGCATCACACAGGAAAAGGCTCCTTCCACATGCTGAACGTTGCTATGGGTGAACAAGCGGGAGTGTGTTACTTAGCTAAAGGGACGGCCCAGGCTGAGTCCTGTTGAGCAGCCTTGCCGAGTTACTGCCATTTAATAGCATACATTTATTTGCCCGGTATATCCAGCCTCTCTGTTTTCAGTTGGTTCTCTCCATTTGTCTGGGGCGAGTCCAGTTTGGTGTGGCCGCTTCAGCCTACCATCTATGCCGGGTGTGAATCAAAGCCTCCCGTGTTGAAAGACGACGGCAGCCTGTCTCAGCCTCCAGGCTTCTGAGAAGGAAGCATTTGGGCTTCTGGTTGCTCACGTTCCCCAAACAAGAGTAACTGTGCTGAGAAATTTCCACTCCCCAAATGTCAACCTCCTTTAGCTCAAATACAGCCAAGTGAGGAGGAGGGGAGGAAGAAACTTGCACAGAACGTTCCCTGCCTGGGTCGGCCAGTATTTTTTAAACAACTCCACAATAGTTCCAGGAGGCAGATAAAATAGATTACTGAAGTCTTAGCGTTACGCACAAGGGAACAGAGAGGTAAAGTAACCCTCACGGTGCTGCACAAGTAGGACTAAAACCCAGTTCTCCCATGTACTGCCACCTTCATCATCATAAACAACCCAAACCATTTATTTAGCCTATTACCCTGACAGCTAACAAGGCCAAGTGCAGGACTGGGAGTTCAGTTCTGTACGAATCCAGTTCCTTTGGCACGGTTTATTATTGTCCACTTTAATTTTACTTCTTGCACTTTGCCTCAATGGTAAAAATCATTTTGCTGTCCTCAGGGAGCCAATTTTTTTTGTTTTCAAAACTCTCAGGGAGAGGAAAGGATGCATTGGAGTGATGATGTTTCCATCAGCCTTTTGATCTAGGGAAACTCATGGTGGGGCAAGTGTTTCCCTGAATCACAAGTCAGTGGAAACATTTTTCCAACTCCAAGGATGACCGACTTGATTTTTTTTACACACTTGGTAATGGGACAAGTTTCAGAGATGCTTTGAAAGCCACCAGGAAGGCAAGTCCCAGCATCCTAAAATTCTCTTTTGTAGAAATCGCATCCAAATATCAAAAATTAAGAGAGCAACAAAAATGGGGTCTATGTAAGCTGGTCGGCAACTTTCTAACACTTACTACAGCTTGAAAACTGATTCTGATTTAGGAGCTTTCCACTTAGCACATCTTATAACAACAAGATCACACTTTCCTGTTAAAAACAAATCCATCAGCCACTGCAGTTACGTGTTTCTGCTTTTAAGGACGCAACCTCTTGCCGCAGTCTGAGGCAGCGCAATGACCGACTCGCTCCAGACCCTCTGGCCTAGTGCAAGTCCGGTGGTTCGCACTGCAGGCATGCCAGCAAGTCTATAAATGGTTGAGAACAGGGTTTTAGTCAAACTACAAGTTGAGGGGCATTGGCAGAGGATGAGAGGCAGGAGTTTTGTATCTTGTTTATGAAAAGGGCTGCAAATTTAAGGCCTTTTCTTATGGAGGTGGATGGCATTTCTGATGCCACTTGGCTTTATTTTGTGTGACGCAGCATCATAAATCCAGGGAGGGAGGTAGATGATAGGAATAAACTTACCCACCAGCTGAGGCCATCTTGTCCCATCTGACCTCTGCAGCAAACAGACCGACTTCTCTGATGGCTGTACAAAGCAGAGGTGAACGCTGAGGTCTTCCACCTGAAGTGTTACAGCGGCACGAATTGCCTCACAAGTTATGCAGTAAAACCCTCCCACGCTGCTCTGCAGAGAAACCACAGGAAGTGAAGATGAAAGCCAAGCACTCGGGGGTACGCTGGAGGAGCCGTCTGGGGAGCTGAATGCAAAATTTCCGTGGAGGTGCGGTGGTTGCACCGTTCACAGCGGGCGTTATGGGAAACTTGATCTGTGTGAAAGGCCTGGTCCAACGTCCCATGTGCAGAGGCACCAGAAGCTATGACACAGCCCTAGCCCTCTCTCCTAAGGGCTGCCCACTTCTGCAGCAGGTGTTGACACTCGAGTTTGACTTGGGCTCAGACCAAATGCCTTTCACTTGGGACCTAATCCATAGTTGAGTCACATCTACCAGATCTGACTTAGGTATCTACATTGAAGCTATATTTAAGATTATTTTTAGATTATTTATAATCCTCCCCCCACATTTCAGACATTTCTTGCCCACCGCAACACTGCAGCTAGCCCTTTAGCTGTCCCCAGGCCCCGGATGCCTATGGCGTGAGCCTCTGGCCCTTACAGGCAGACGCATGCAGCAGTGGTTGGGCACCAGTGGTCCTACCTACACTGAGACCACACTATTCACTTCTTTTCCTAGGTGACCACCTGGGCGGTGTTTTCCAGGGCTCCCCACAAGAGGAACTGCTACTGCTAAGACGGCAGCTCCCAATTCCTTCATGTGCTACAAGGCAAGGAAGGAAATGGGTAGAAGCCAACCAGTTGTGGCTGAAACTGCAACTAAGGGGTCAGTTTTTACCTCTGTTGGTTGACGGCTGAAAGTCAGTCTCTTGATAAACCTGCTCCGAGGAATGGAAGAAAGGGGACAAAGTGTGTTATTTTACCTTGGGGAAACTCATGAGAATCACAAGAGTGGAGAGCAGCACTGGCCTTCCAGAGGTCAGTCAATCCATGCCACTCCTAGAGGCAGGACCAAGTATCCCTCACTGATGACCCTTGCCATCAAAGGGCCCATTCCCTCCCCCAGACAGCACCAGTTTACCTGAAGGAGCAGCTGGTGGGTTTCTGAAAACCAGCACAGATGTTCAAGGAGGCGTCCTGATATGTTTGCCACGTTGCATTTGACCTTTTCTCCCATTGCAAATCCTTACCATGAGAAAAGGGGCGACAGCACTGCTGACAGCAGGTCCCATAACATGACATTAACTACAAAATCTGCACATGCTGCTTTTTTGGCAAATCCAGAAGACAAAAATCTTGGTGCCGTAGAATAAAAAGCCCTGCATCACCTGCTGGGCAACACTAAAATGAGTCAGCAGGTGAGAAAAATGTGGCGGTGGAGAACAACTCCCCCTACCTAAAGGCTAAGTTCACACAGCAAACTATCTTGGCATAAAGCATTCACATTCAACACCTTGCTCCGACTTTCTTTTGCCATGGAAATCAGCGCTCAGCATTGCCGAACTAAGACGCCGCGGGGCCCAACTGCCTACTGTGGGTGTGAACAAACCGAGTTTGTCTCCAAAACAGGAAAGGCTGGAGTTTGGTGCTATTCATGAGAAAGCCAGCCATAGGCCACATGGAGCTTAGTCCCCCGGGGGGGGGGAGGGGTTGTAAGTAAAGCTTGTGGTTTGCACATCAGAAAAAAAAAAGAAGTCCCATAGCTCTTCTTTTCTCTCTCTCTACCCAGCACTGCATCTATGCCTGGACCACTGGTAAGATCCAGAACAACCTGTAGTGTGGCTCAAATAGTAAAGCTACAGGAAAGCTTCTGGTTTGCTCTCTATCTCACCCACAAACTCTGAGGCTTGTCTCAGATTCTTTCGTCTTTGTAGAAAGCAGAAATGGCCTTTATCTTAAGAGAGCAGGAGCCAATCCTATAGACAGAAAAGGAGCTCTACTTTTACTCCCAGCAGCTGACCTGGGAGATGAACCTTGGCCTCCTGACGGGATGAATTAAGCCTAACCCAAGTGTCATCATTAAACGTGCCCAGAAACTAATACCGTGTGTGTGTGTGTGCATGCATACATGAGTGTGAGTTGTGTGTGTGCATGTGACTACTAAGATCCAATTGCACATGGCTGAGCAAAACTTGAGCTAACACAGCCAGCCCCCCTCTGCTCACTGCCCATCGGACAACTGCTGGTGACAACTTTTAAGACTGACCTGGGCACTGCAGCTCTAAGAGGCTGGAAACCCCCCTCTTCCCCCACGTGCACCCACACTTCTGTGCCCTTCCCTGTGGGTGGGTGGCAGGGAGGGCCCGTACCATTGCTTTGACCCACATAGCTTAGGAGCTACAAGCCCAGCGTTACCATTCCTTGGAAGGCGCCGAGGGCGAGGACAAAAGATGGGAAGATGCCTCTAGTCACAGTCAAAGGGGTTTATTGAGACCCAGGCACAGATCATGGTACAAAGAGTCCTAGAAGCCTCCTCTGCACATCTCCCGGTGCCAGGGCCATTCCCCGCGCAGCGGCGTCTCAGCACAGAGATGCTATTCTCCCGCCGCGCTGGCTGCCTGCAAGTCTGCAAGGGGAAAGAAGGGGGAACATTGATATGGAAAGCGAGGGAGCTCAGCCCCACCTGGAAGCACTTAAGGCTCTGGGCTCCCTCGTTTCCTGCCTGGGCTCCATCCCATGAAGGTGGGCAGATGGCTTAGCGGCTCCGCCGCCAGCTCCAGCCAAGCTGCAGCCTTTCCAAGGCCAGGCCGAAAGCTCTGCTGTGTATCCAGGCAGCTCCCACCACTCTCTGCCCTACTGCAGCCCCCCCGAGGAAAACTGAAGGAGGCCTCTTGTCTGCTTCGGCGGGGCAGAGACTGTTAACCCCACGCACCTGGCCTGAGGAGCAGCAGCCAGGCTGGGCAGTCAGTTTGAGGGTGCCCTTCTCCCAGCTCTCCCCCATGGCCAGGCTCCAGCAAAGGAGAGAGCCGTGGCGAGGTGCGGGTTGACCTGCTGAAGCTTGCTCAGTCCCCCATTTTCACAGTGGGGGAGAAGTGAGACTGCAGATGCTGGAAGGGGGATTCCAGTGCATTTTCTATTCCTAAAAGGGCCCTAGAGAAAGCTCCAGTGAAGAAACCTCTGTCTGCCAGCCAAAAGCAGCAGCTCTGCAGGTTTCCTTTTGCCCTCTGCAGTGACCTGGGCATTGCTCATTAAGGCAGGGAAGCAGTGACAGAAATCACCTGGCAGGATGGCTGGGGATACCCCCAGTTCCTGCCCCTGATGTGGTGTGGCTTTGCACCTAAGACCATCTTTCAGTGCACGTTTCCCTGATCAGAAAGGCAAACAGCAGCCGCACACACTGGGACCCACGGACAAGAGTGCTCCACGCTATGCATCACGTTGCAGGGTAGGGAGGGAGCAGAAGTGGGGAGGACTCGTCTTTCCCTCACACTGCAGGGACCGTTAGCATCACAAGGGAGCTAGAGAGTACTCCCCTGTCCCCCCTATGCCCCCAAAGAGCCCATCACTAATCTCATCGCCTGCACACAAAGTGCGGCAGCTGCAGAGTTTTCCTTTATCCCCTTTAGCAAGGAGCTGAAGCATCCTATTCATAAACCACATTGTCACTGCCCCCCGACATCGCTCCATTGCTTTCTACCTGCGATAAACCTGCTGGTCTCATTCAGAGCATGTAATGCCTCTGGCCTTAGCAGGGAAATTAATTATTATTGTGCTCGCTGATCAGCTCCCAAGTACGAGCGTGACTCTTTAAAATGTGATTAAGCAGCACTTGCACCAGCCACTTCAAAAGGCTGCTGCGGCTAGCCCTGATGCCCTGAGCACTAGACCACATCGTCTGGGCAGGCACAAGCCAGGGAGGCGTGTGCTCTGCACCATGGTGCCCGCATGCTATAGTTATCTGGATGGCACTTGCTGCAAGAGACCCTCTTATCTCTTCATCCCATCACCAGTATCAGAAGGAGGTGGCTGGGTCCAGCCTTAGTTCCCTATGAAGCCCTAAGTACCAGTTCCAGGCTCAGTGCCCTTGCTCTGGGAACAGGGTGAGAGCAGGCACCAGGATTGCTGGATTTTAGACCCTGGTTTGACCCAACTTGCTTTGTATACACAAGCGATAGCAGCTTTCTGGGCTTTGGTTTCCCCGCCATGCAATGGCCCTAGCATACAGGCACTGTCAGGTCATGCCTGCCGACACAGTGCCTTGCACTCAATCATCTGCAAGCCCTTGCAGGCACTTCTACTCATAATATTTGACTAGCCATCTCCCACAACCACTCCCTCGGGGGCACCCAGGGGTGGCGACTTCCCTGTGGGACACTGGATGTGGATTTACTCAGCCCCTGGCCTGGGTAACAGTGAAGGTAGGCGACTGCTCCCCCAGCACACAGCCGACCCTACTGCCACAGAAGAAATCTTTCCAGGGTCCCTTTCACTGATCTTCCAGGCGGTCACTTACCGGCATCATCATACTCCACGGATTTCAGGAAGAGCCCGGCAGCCGGGGCAATGGTGTTTTGAGGGTAGGCCAGCGAGTCTCTCACTTCCAGCAGCTCCTTTATGTGATAAGGCTTCAGCTTCCCTATGCCAACTGCTACCAGCGCCCCGACCATCCTTCGCACCTGGAATGGCAGAGAAGTCAGCTCCAATGGAAAGCGTGAAGAGATCCTTGCACAACCCAAGGTGCTTCCAGCAAAACCCCTCAGCATATCACCTCCCCCGGTTCCCCGGCAGCACGGTCCCAGTGCGCACCAGGACGGCTGAAGCTCAGCCCGCCAAGGACGGGCACTGGGTGCCTCTTGCCCTGGAAGGAGCTGTGCTAATGCACTGAGATGGGTTAAGCAGAGATGGCTCCCAGGAGGGCCAAGGAAATCCCACTGCTGGCTCTAGTGGGGGGAGGAAGGGCGAGGGGCGCATGTCACCGACAGGCGGGTTTGTCTCCAGGCAGCCTCTGCCTCACAGGTGTTTTTAGTGCCTGCTGCCACGCTGGTGGAGTGGGGGACAGCTCCTGGCTACAGTTCCCCAGGCGAGGCCACAACTTCCTGCAACAGGATGCTGCTTGTCACTGCGCCCTAGCGTGGACCCAGGCCGTGCAGGGGTGCAGGCCGAGTGGGGCTTGGGCACAGAGCAGCAGCACCACACGTCCCTCTGTGGCAGGAAGCAGCTCGTGGCTTGCCCAGAACAAAGGCATCGTTTCCAAACACGGGCCAAAAACAAGCGAGTCAGGCTGGAGACCGAGTCCCTGCAGCCACCAGCTTAGGACTTCAAATGCTTCTGAGCTCGGCCAGTCGCTGCTTCCAGGCACCCGGCTCCATGGCCTAAAGCGCGGTCGGGATGCAGCACTACACAGAGCCCATGCAGGACCCGGTGCCAAGCCTGTGCCCCTTGTCCTGAGCCTCTTCAGAAGAGGCCCTTTCCCCCGGCATCCCCGGCAGAGCAGCTGGTGCAGTGATATGGGCGGTGTCTGCCTCCACCCATGCCGCCTACTCCAAAAAGGGTGGTTTTCTACCCAGCTGCTTCCTGTACTAGCAGCACCAACCCGGCCAGTGACCTGACGGCTGCCTGGCATGTTACCCAGGGGCCACTGCTTGTCTCCAGCAGCTGCATTAACCCAGCTGGCAACATCTCAGCAGATGCAGAAGTGAAACCAAGGACACGCTGGGGAATTCTGCCTGTGACGTGCATGGGAGTAACAACCTGATGCATTGCTGCCCTCAGCCGCTGCGGCAGGGGACGGCCGGGCTTTGGGGTCAGACCCCTCACTGCAGCTCTCCCAGCAGCATCCCGGCCTGGACAGCACAACAGGGCAGCTGGACCGATGTCACTACTAGAAGACAAGTCTTCCCTCCTCCTCCCATTAGCTGTACCCAGGTCATTCCCCAGTCCAGGTCATGGAAGGAGGCAGAGGGAAAGGAGGGTTTTCTATATTCCCAAGAAAGTTAAAGGGTAACGTCCCACGTACCCCTCATCACTAGCATCGCGGGCAGTCACTTCCGGGGGTCTCTGGGCAGAATGGAGATGAACCCAAAACAGAACGTGAAGGGTTTGGTCTGGCCCATCTTCCCCACCCCACAACCCTCAGGGTGCTCATCAGGTCCTGGAAATCAGGCCCTTGTGAGGCACCTCCAGGCAGGTGGCCCCAAGTTGCCAGGCCCTGCTGGAGGCTTTGGGTGGGGGTTCCCAAAGCCCTTGGCATTGGCCTAGCACCGCTCCCTCCAGATACATCTATGCCACATCCCCGGCATGTCCCAGAAAAGGTGCTCTCCAGCACCTGCTCACACAGGAAAGGTGGTGAAGCCACGCAGGCCCCAGACGGAGATGTCCAGAGAGGTATCACCCCCAGCTGGGATCCTCTGCCTCACTTTTGGACTTGGTGCGTGCATGCAGAAGTGGGGCAGGGGAGCAGGGTGCTCTCAGGAGTACCCCTCCTGGAGCTGCGGGGATGTGGTGCAGGCAGCACGGAGAGCATGCATACATAGGCTGCCCCTGTGCCCTTGGAAAGGCAGTGCCCACCCTAGGGTGCTGGCAGCCCAAGCTGGAGGAAGCAGTGGGATGAGAACTGGAGCTCCAGCAGCAGCTATAGATAGCCTCACAGCTCACGGTGCAGACACAGAGCTGCGCTTGCCTTGCACCTCCCAGGGGTAAAGGCCTGTCGGCCCAGTGGCCATGCTCCCATGGGCCGCACTAGCCCTGTGCTTTCACGTGCTGCAGGACTGTCAGGCTGAAGGATGTTCTTATCCCCCAGGTAAGTCCCACCGGGGGCCGTCTGTGCCTTGCAGGGAGCTACAAGACAGCCCTGTTCTGCTGCTAGCAAGAAGGGAAGCTTCCGTCTTGCTTTGATGCAAAAAAATCCCCCTCTCCCTTTTGCACTGCAGAGAGCTTGTCAGCAGCATCACGGCCATCCCCGCCCCAGCTGCCCCCGGCTCCCCCGAAACGGCTCCAGGGGAGAGTTGTCCCAACATCCATGCCATCCTCAGCCGCCGTCGGTCTGCGCTCTCTCTCATCGCAGCCCCAGGTGCCGGCTTCGCTCTCTCAGCATAAGACTTTAATCCCTCGTCTCCCTTTGCCCACAGGCAACAATCCCAGCAGGATTCGCTGCGGTTTCTGACAAACTGCTGTAGGCGTGAAGCCTTTTTGGACAGGCCTTCAGAAACCAAAGCCCCACGTGGCTATTAAAGGTCCTGCGGTGTCTCCCAGAAGAGCAGGACGTGCCCAGGCATCTCCCCCCCCCACCTGCTGTTATAAACGGTGATGCCCAGCTGGTCCCCTCCAGCCCACCGCACTGGAGGGAGCTAGCTGTGCGTGCAATTAGAGAGAGCACTTTAGGATAAAAACAGCTAGCGAGGGACAGTGGGATCCTCCCACAGCCTCTCTCTGCGTCAGGGATCCAGGCCCGAGCAGAGGCAGACAAAGATCTCTTCTGCCTCCTCTCGCTGTTTGTTCAGCCTTCAGTCTAAAAGTGTTTTTGCTTCCCAAGATGAAGCAGGGAAACCCTGCGAGTTGCCTCCTGGTTTTTTTTTGCTCAGGAGCAGATCGCTGAAGCCAGAACTCCTTAGGCCCTGAACTGAAAGGGCAGGGGATGCAAGAACATGAACAAGGATTTAAATGGGGGGTTTTCCCACATATCTGCACAGCAAAGGCGTTCACAATACAAAGCTCCCCGATTATCCCCGAGTACAGACTTCCGGTCACATCTCAGTTAAAAACCTCTTCCTCTGTTGCTGCCCTTGGCCACAGCGCTCTCACCTCCATCCACCCTGGGGCCAAATTCCCCACCAGCCTCTGGGTCCTGGGTCCTTCTCTGAACTTACCAGCCATGCATGAGCGCAGACCAAACCTCTGGGAAGGAAGCAGGGCGAGCAAACGGCTGCTAGGCTGCCACAGTCACTCATGCAAACTTGTACCACTCCCACAGCAAGCTTCCCTGGGAATTTCTGGGAGAAGCCATGCAGTGGGGTCGATGGTACGACTGCATGAAGGTGTGCGCGTAGCAGAGAGGTCTCTGCAAGCCAGTGGGGTGAAGAGCTGCGGGGCTGACTGGTCTGCAAGGACTGCATCTGTGTGTGTTTGCTCTGTGAGCACAGGGCTCTCCTCCAGGTGGGCCTCGTGTGGCTGATTGCAGTGTGCATCACCACCAGGTGTGAACCAGGCAGGCTTTGTTCCAGGGCGGTGCCTTAGGTCAAGACAGCCCCTTGCGGGCTGAGAGAGAGACAGAGACCTGTGGAGGGAGCAGCAGCTTGTCCTGCTCCATGTTTTTGCCACACGGTGTCACTGCCGGCTGCAAATCTGCTTCGGGCTCTTGGGTTTGCCAATTCAAGAGGCCGCCGGCAGGGACCTGCGTCAGCCACGTGCTTGGCTTCCACCACCACAGTCACGGTGCTCGGGGGCACAGAATGCCCACGCCACGTGGCAAGTCTCCAGGGGCTGCTTCACCTGCTCCCTTGGTAAAATCCCCCCTCCCCGCAGCGGCACAGGCCCATGCAAACGCTGGGCTGAGTGCCCGCAGGGAGGCAAAGGGCAGGACTAGGTGGGGCTGGGCACTGGCAGGGTTAAGCAGCCAGAACAGCCAGAGCTAGTGGGGGAATTTCCCATCTGATGCCCAAGTGGATCCTCTCGAGTTTCCCACAAAACCTCCCAGGGCAGGAACCTCCGATGGGGCTGAAACGATTCCTTCCCCGTGTTACAGACCAAGCACAAAGCTGTTTTGCTTCTGCTGTGCAGCTAAATCTCCGGTAGCAGGGAATTCCAGCGGTTTTGCTTGTCCTGGGGTGAAAACAGAGCTGGTTTGCCGTAACGGCCTCGAACATGGAGGCTTGCTGTTCTCACGCACACGCAACCTCTCTGCTACTCACTGCTGCCAGCATGTGACCAGCGGTGAGACCCGCAGACCGAGAACTACTCACTCTTTCCTAGCAACGAGACCCATTAAACAGCGAAGCAGGCTCTCCCCAAGGGAAGTGGCAAAAACCCCGCTCCTGAGTCATCTCAGATGGGAAAGGGTTTGAAGCGAGAGCCCAGGCTGGGATAGGGGCTGCCCTGTCCTCGGGAGAGGAGCTGCAGGCTTTTCCCACCTCCCCGTTTACGGTTCTAAGAACTCTTCCAAGCTTCAAAAGAAAAGTGAAACCCCAGGCTGTCGCTGCTGGGCTCAGTGCCTTAAAACTGGGAGACGGCCTGTGCATCGGTTTTAACCATGAAACGGCAGGGATCCGATGAGGTGAATAAGCACTCCCATGCAAAAATGGTCCTGAACCTACAAAACTTTGGGTGCATCTACTATTAGATCTATTAGTCCAAGTTAATGTGCATTACAGGTGTGCATCTACACGTGCACATCCTTAATGTGCATAAAAAATGGTGGAGTTAGGCTACTCATGCCTAAATTGGATTGGATGCAGGTATCCAATTTAGGTGCAAATAGTTCAAGTGCATTAACGCACGTGTAGATGTGTTAAAGCACATTAACACTGTGTGTGCAGACCAACTTGGGACTAATTTTAGTCCCAAGTCAGTTTACACGCAGCATTAATGTGCTTTAATGCCTGCACATGTAGACGCCTGCCTAAACCCACTTAATCCACATTAAGCTAATGCACATTAAATTTAGGTCCACTTAAATGCATGTGTAGATGCAAACTAGAGCCAATGGTCCCAATGGAGCAAACACTACTGAGACAAAGGATGCACCTGGATTCTGGTCCTTTATCACAGATTCGCTCTGCAGCCCCAAGCATGCACTTCACCTTTCAGCCTCAGTTTCCCCAACTGCACAATAGGAACGGCCTCTGCAAGGATGTAGTATCTGCAGGGGGGCTTTCAGATCCTGGAGGGGGGTGAGGCAGGGGAGAGACAGGGGCTGATGGAGGTTCTCAGTGTATGGGGAACCCACCCTGTACAGTACCTGCTTGTAAAGGAAGGACTGGCTCCTGAATTCCAGCTCCCAAAACTGCAACTGCCTAGAAAAAGACACAAAGACCAGCATTTAAAATCCTGCATCCCAGCTTGTCTTCCTTCAACTGGACCCTCCAGGGAGCGGAAGTCACTGGGAAATCACAAGCATGCAGGAGAGTCAAGGTGGAGCTACGAGTTTCCACGTCTGATTTCAAACGGCCTTGCTGATCTGCAAAGGTGAACAGCAAGGCGCTGAAGTGGGAGCTGGGCTGACCTTGCACGGTCAGTCATCTAGCAAGCCCAGCTCCCCAAAGCACATCCCTGACCCGAGCTTCCCTGTAAATCTCAGTCGATGCCATGGGCCAGTTCTGACAAAACTGGCAAATTTCACGGTGCCAAAGGAGAAGTCACGTCAACGGGAGAAATTGCAATGCTGTTTCTCAGAGAGCGCAGGACAGGACCCATCCACCACCCGTATCCCCTCCCCAGCTCATGTCCTCCCTGGAACCTGAAGGACGCCTGCTACACGCAGCACCAAGTGTAGGAGGAACACACGAGACGGCAGGGCGTGCTCTCTGCTCAGCATGCGTGCAGCTCTCTCGGTCACGCTCTGGCCAGCACCATCAGGGTGTGTGGTGAGAGGAAGGGTCCTATCCACACCCAACAGCCACATACACAGAATCATGGAAAATGAGGGTTGAAGGGACCTCAGGAGATCACATCTAGTCCACCCCTCTGCTCAAAGCAGGACCAGCCCCAAATACACCGTCACAGCCAAGGCTTTGTCTAGCCGAGTCTTAAAATCCTCTGTCACAGAGCACTGAGGTGCCCTGCTCCCATAGAGGGGAAAACTGCTAGGGAGGAAGCCCTAGCAGGGAATAAGGAGCCCAGCTGGGGGTTGCCAGGGCAACCAGAGGTGGTCAGCTGACCCTAAGGGGCAAGGCCTGGCTCTTATAAAGCCCAGGAGCTGAGGCCTGAGGCAGTTCCCTGCCTGCAGCCAGAGAGGCAGGAGCTCCCTAAGCTAGGATGCGGCAAGAAGCCTGACCGCAGCGACAGCTCTCAGAGGCTTGAGCAATGTTGTTCTAGCCAGGGGGCTTATAGTTACGTTATAGCCCAGGGGCTTGTGTTTTGCTTTGTTGTTGTTATAACCGGTGATTTGGGTGAGGCTATTAGGGGTTGGAGGAGGCCTCAAAGGGGACCCACAGTAGCGTGGGGACCCCAGCACCAGTGAGGGCGCAGCGTAGGGGGTACATAGACCCCTGCCCCCAGAAAGGGGGGGGTACCATTGCGAAGCTCCAGTGTGGGCATGGTGAGCCCCAGAGAGGGGAGCACTATGATTGAGGAGCCCAAGTTGGGCACCGTGAGCCCCAGAGAGGGGGCAACCTTAGTGAGGAGCCCAAGTGTGGGCACGGCGAGCCCCAGAGACGGGGGGGCAGCATCACTAGGAAGCCCAAGTGTGGGCACAATGAGCCCCAGGTAGGGGGCAGCATGAACCCAAGTGTGAGCATGGAGAGGGAAGGCCCAGGGAGAATAGGAAGGGGCTGAATAACGAGAGAAGTGAGACAACAGCGATTTCCATCGGCAGGGTGTAGGGGAGGAAGCGGAGCCGCAGATAGCGCCCCCTGGCAGCGGGACAGTACAAGGGCAGCCTCCTGCCAATTAACAACAATTAATCAATTAATAACAAGGCATGGCAGGCAAGTAGGCAGGGTGGTTGCCCCAAGAACAGGTGAGCGGGCCTCCTTTAGGTCGGCCCAGATCGTGTACCTGTCACATCCTCCAAGGATGGAGCTTCCTCCACCTGTCTGGGTAACCTGTCCCAGTGCTTTACTATCCTCCTAGCAAGAAAGTTATTCCTAATCTCTAACCTAAACTTCCCTCACAGCAACTTGAGCCCATTGCTTCTTATTCTGTATCTGCTCCCACTGAGAACAGCCCAGCTCTGTCCTCTTTTGAACCACCCTGCAGGGAGTTGAAGGCTGCTATTAAATCCCATCTCAGTCTTCTCTTCTCCAGACTAAATAAGCCCAGTTTGCTCAGCCTCTCCTCACAGGTCATGTCCCCCAGCCCCCAAACCATTTTTGTTGCCCTCCACTGGACATGCATGCAATGTAGCCCCCAAAAATCATTTCTGCACTATTCCCAGGCAAGGCCTGGTGATAGAACAGGGAAAGGAAAGGATGCAGGGTAGGGGGGCAGCAGGGGATTGGCAAGTCAGGAGCAAAGGGTATGGGAGTATGAGATGGAGCCAATGGGCCAGCCCAGCTTGGCAGGGGAGGTGGCGCTGCGGGTCTGGACAACAGCAGTTGTGCTGGCTTGGGTCTGCTTCCTGGCAGGAGTAATTTGAGCCTGTTACCGTCCTCACTCCCCCACGAAATAATAAAGCATACTCAATCCATCACTTGCATGTATCGACTCCAATGCATGGACCTAACAAAAGGATGAATAGCAAATCGTTGCCAGACACAGCAGGCTTCTTCCCCAAGGCCCAGCACATTGCAGCATCTGCCCTTTCCTGCTTGAACACAGGTGAAGTGGGGAGTAGGACCTGTCACACCAATACCCTGCAATGTAGAAACAAATGCAGGTGCTCTGGAACCAATTCCTGGCCTAGCGAAGCAATTAAAGATCGAGGGAAAGCCTCTTCCCTCTGCTCAGGGAATTACTCTGGGCTGATATGCTTGAGGGTGTTAGATGGACCCCATGCAAAGAGGGGAAGAGTCTGGTTTTGAATCCTACATCCTCTCTGCCTCCCTTTGGACAGGACCTGGGCTCCCACCTCCACTCCAAAGAAGTGGTGCACGGCAGAGCCAGAAGGGGAAGGGGACATGGGGGGAGCGCGTTCGCTGGCAGGGCTGGATGGATGTTTCTACGGCAGGGCATTTCAGGTCAGTTGGGCTGGCTGGGAGAACCGTGCCCCCTTCTCCAGCTGTCCAGGGCATGTCAGAGCTGATCTACCTGCTTCTCAGAAGCGCTAAAAATCAGCCTCCCCTTCCCTGGGTGATAAATTGCTTTTAGCATCCCTGCTATTAAGCCGTTCATGTCTAGGTGGGGGAGGGGGGTCCCACGGCCTGTATGTCTGCTGTAGCCTGAGCAGGCATCTCCCAGGAGGACGGATAAAACATGTTCTGCTTCTGAAGAGGCAAAATGGGCCTTACTTGAAGACTTTTACTTAACAGCAGGTGCCGCAGCCCTTATGCACAATTTTAACTCCTGGCATCTTGAAGTGATGGGGAGTGGAGGAGGACTACTTGCAGTAGCTAGAAACACCATCCATCACCAAGCCAAGTAGAGCTCAGGGGCTGATTCTTCCCTTTCGCCCCCACGCTGCTCTCTGTTTTCAGGCGCATGCACATTGGATCAGGCACTCGAGCCTGGCAAAATGATGGCTCCATTCAAGTGATGGAGATGGGCTGAGGGGGGCAGCCGCACTGACCATGGTGCGCAGGGAAGTGGTGCCGTAGCTGAAGGAAGGAGGGGACAAGACAGAAGCGTGCCAAATACCGAGTGGAAGAGGCGGTAGCAATGGAAACGGATATTCTCCCTGTCTCATGATGCAAGAGGAGGCTACACGAGCTGCAAAGGCAGCATGTCCCAAGCTGACGTGCAACAGCATCATCCACCTGATGCACAACCAGCCAGTGGAAATCACTGCACGGGGTATCGTGTGGACTGAGAGGCGGCAAGGGATTCAGGAAGGGATTAGACACTGAGACAGGTAACCAGGATAGCCAGCACTAGTGATTTCCAAAGCAGAGTGAGGAAGTTTATTCCTTCCAAAATTGTGTGGCATAAGCTAAGCTCCTGGGAGAAACCTTTCTGGGTGCACATAAGCCCATAGATGCCCCCCCTGAGACCTCTGAAGCAGCTGGTGTTGGCCACTTTCACATACTAGGAGTCCTGGTTCAGCTTGAAGGTCTTTACCTATGTCTTCAGGACCTAACCTCACCCTGGCTCTCCCAGGAGATGCGGCTGTGGGTGCTGGACCAGGCACAGCCAGCGCTCCCAGGCTGTCCGCCGACCCTTCTGCCACTGCTGTGTTACGTGGGTCATGCTTTGAAGACCAAACAGTCTCCACGAACTTTGGGGTTGGGGGCGGCCAAGGCAGGCTCAAGTGCTGACCCCCAAAAACCGCTTGCAATCAAACGGCAAAAAATGGTTCCTACCTGTCAAAGCAGCCTGGGATGCAGCCTCCCAATGAGACAAGCTAGTCAGAGGCTGTCAGCACGCTGTCAGGCCAGGGAGGCCTGTTTACTTCCAAACAAGCTGAACTAAACAGTTTGCCTCTAATGGCATCTCGCTAGCATCTCATCACTCATTCTGAAGGTGTCTGCCCACCCTGGACCAGGGCCTGCTCTGCTGCCGGCTCTCCACGGTCTGCCCATGCAAGCACTGAGCCTTTCTTCAGCGTTCATTTCGAAGTAGGTAGATCCCAAAGAAGGAAAGGAAAAGCCCGGATATCCATCCTGCCAAGTGTTAGGTCTGCCAGACGATGGGGACAACCGCTACAACCCTGAACAGCATAAGCTCAGCGACCCCCTGGGACTGGAACCATATGGCTCGCCGGGGTGTTGAATTTTCCACGACAGAGCTTTCCCCAACCGCTGTTTAGATGGCAGATGAGTTACGTAACTGCTAATGGAAACAAGGGAGCTGGAATATAATACTTCCATCCACCCTTTGTACTTCATCAGACTGCTCCGGCTTCACATCTGACATCGCAGTCCTACTAAATCGTCCACAGAGCCTTCCAGAGCAGACAAGAACTGCACTGGTATCCCAAGCACTGATTTCTCCTCCAGCTTTTTAGACCTTTTATTTTATTTGTCATGCAGCAATAACATTACGAAGGGGCTATTTTCTGGACTCTTTGCACCCTCCGACAATTGCCCAATTCTTTGAAAATGAACGAGGTCCACCAAACCAGATCCTCGCACTCAATTTGCAACACCATTTTACTGTTACTCACTTCCATGTGATACAAGGACACCTACTTCTACACGCAGGCTGATCACTAGCTAGCTGACATCAACCATAACCATCTCCTGCTAGATAGGCAGGCAAG